GCTGTGTGTGTGAAGAAGATTGCTAGTGTTCAGTTGTTGTCGAGAGTGGCTCCCATGGCAATAGCAACTTTTATCTTCCATTCAACTAAAAAAAAAATCTTACGAGTTCGTTGGATTGGATCCACAAAGTCTTATCCTATCTGCTATGCGGTTTAATTATAACCAGACATTTTTGTTTTCTTTATATATAATTTTGTGTTCTTAATCTTTTTCATATGCATGTTTTTTTTTATAAAAAATATTCAAAAGAAATGCTCTTAATCACTGGAGCTATAATAAGTCCTTTGTCGTTTGATAAGTGTTTATCTACGTTCATAAATTGGATCCACGAAGTCTCATCCAATCTATGTGGTTTAATTGTAACCTGATAAATACTTTTATTTGTTTTTCTATATATATAATTTTTTTTGTTCTTAATCTTTTCATATGCATTACTAAATATGAGAAAACAATACTACATTAATTTCTCATCTAATTAGAAAAGACATGAAAACTGGTGAGATTTTTGTGGTTGTGTTGTGACTTTGTTTATGAGAATGTGTTTGTCCGGTGTCACGCCATGACCTAAATATATGTTCTTGGTTTTACAGCACGTGATCAGTTGAACAGTAGTTGAACAGTTGCATTGATCATCCAACTTTCAACATACATCTTATTTTATATTTTTTCATTAATTTGATTCCATTTCCATTCATCCTTTTTATGGTTGAAGTTTTTTAAAATTTATCCACAGCCCTAGCTGGTACCTTAGAGTTTAGGTAGGGCTACGACTTTCGAGTCTAGAAATTGTTATGATGTCGCTGGATAGTAGTGGTAGGGTCTCTATGTTTTATGTATATCTTTTTTTTATTTATTAAGATTTTATGTATATCTTTTCATGGAACCGTTATCGTATGATAAATCATAAATTCATGAAGCAAAACGAGTGTCTGATAATTGATTATGGACCAAAAATGCTATGCCAAATTAAAATTACCTGTAGGATGACTGATATGTCTAGAGGGGTGAATATGCCAATTTAAAATTATAATCAATAAATAAAAATAAACTTTGGTATCAAGATTGATATGCTTATCAATTCTGAAACGTGCAGAGTATAAAATAAAAGAACACAGAGAGAGTTATTTTACATGGTAAAACCCCATCTCTGAAGGAAATCTATGGGACTCCTCAGTTCAAAATAAATTCACTAGAGAATGATGATTACAAGAAGTACTCACTCACTTATCCTAGATACATTAATCTAGATAATGTTTACCAACTTCTTCGTATCTCAACTTCTGCCATGAGATGACCTTCCAACTCTCCTTATGTTGAACCCGATATTGGTCACGATCGATTCAAGCTTACGGGAGAAAAATCGCCACCACGATCTTGATACCCTCAACTGTATGAGTCACAAACTATGCAAATGAATGCAATATGAATAGTATCATATTCAAATTCTCATGACACTTTGGTAATGTGTGTGTGAAAAACCTCCTACTCCCCATGGCAACAAATAATTTGAGAAAATTATTTGTGGCTTGCATATAAGGTGGTGGTTGGAAATCCAAAACGAATTCTGGTTGCAGCTGTAGAGATAAATAAAAAATTTGAAGTGATTTTTTTACACACATAATTTTTGAGAAAAGACCTAAAAAATAGACATCGTTAAAATATAATACAAAATATTTGAGAAATTTCTTACTTCTTGTTATCTGTAAATCATGATTTTATTTTCTTTTTGTCTGAACATTATGCATTCTCCATGTTAATTAATCTTTTAATTAAGCAGCTATGGGTTCATGGTTTTGAGAGCAAACTTCAAAATCTGTAAAGCTGATGTTTTCTGTTTGGTCCTCATTCCGAGAAAAAAAAAAAAAAAAAAACCTTTTTAGAGAGACATGCGCAACACGAGGGTTGATCTGCTTTGCACATGTGGATGAAATTGAATTACCATAAGTGCTTTTCTTTAGACTTTTCCACTCCATGTCGCCTTTTTAAAAGCAAAAGGGCCTCCCCCTCTCTAGAGAGAGATCTCTCTCCTTTTTTTTTCTTCTCTTTTTTTAAAATTTAAAATTTTCTAATTTGTGATTTCCTGACAAATTTATTAAGTTGAGAGAAGGAATGTTAAAAAAGTAATTATTAGTCTCGCCCAATTGATTTTGGATGCCCCTATTTATTATCTATATCTATATATATAAAGTAAAAGGCAGAGAATGGTGAAACATTCAAAAACCCCAAATATGCCCTTAGTTAATGCAAACATTAAGAATTGAAATTATTAATTAAATGAGGATAATATGGTAAATTCACATTTTTTCATATTTAAATAAAATTAAAATTAAAAGAAAAATTAGATAATGGATCCTATTTTTATGGAACACAACTACCCATTATCTTTTTTAATTCTAAAATAAAATAAAATAATTTTTTAAAAGCCTCTTGTAGACGCGGAAGCGCGTGCAGAGAGGCTAATGTATATGAAATATTAGATGCTAAGTACAACTTATTTAACTCAAGAGTGATCCATCATCTCAATTAAAAGACATTGTTATGACTTAGAGCATTTACAATTATGTTTCCTATTTTTTAATTAAAATTTAACGAAAAACACACAAAAATTATTTTTGAAACTTTCTAAAAAATTTGAACTCCGATCATACTCCCTGTTTAGGGAGTCCTAAATATTATAATTATTTTTTAATTCAATATAATTGGTTAATCTCTATAAAAAATATTTAATATTAATTTAAAGTTTAAAATACGCCTAAAACAAAGCAGCATTAAATTATAGGGAAACACTATGAGTCCTTTCTCACTCCTCATATTTTATGAGGTGTATAGATGGCATGATTGGAGTTGTATTTTTCCAATTCCTCTGTAAAATTTGTCTAAAGACGATTTAGGGAGCCCATTATGGATGCTCTTATATAAGACATAATTTTTGTATTAGATTATTTATAATCAACAAAAAATTAATTGGAATAGACCAAAAAAAAATGATGAGTTGAGTTTTGAGGTGAAGAATGTCTTCCTTTTTTTTAGTACAAGAATTTTTGGGGGGGAAGGGGGGTTTACACAAATATTCATTGGGTGTTTAGAAGTTTTGAACCTCTGCTTCACATGGGTTAAGGTGGAAGAGCTCAACCAACTGAGCTATACGCTTCGAAGCAACAATAGAAAAATACGAGTCTACGAACTCTACACTCATTTTAGATACAACAACAAACAAAAATAAAAACGAAGACACTTAATCTGCTTCTGCACCACACTTTGGTCTTCACTCCGCAAATTATTGCCCTGCTTTGCTTTCTGTCATGTTTGAAATTAGTTTGCATTATCCTTTGGAATCTACTTTTAGCCTAGGCAATGCTTATTATGATATGACTATTAATAGACCACTTTACCAATTTTTTTAATATTGATGGAGTCCACCAATATAATTGATTCGGCATTTATTAAAGAATTGATACACATTGTGGTTTATAAATGAGATATTCTTAGCATTTTTCATATTATGAGACTTAGCAGGTTTGTTAGAAGATGATAGTGTTCCCATTCACATAGTGACATTTGTGATATTTGTGACACTTGGTACATTAAACTATGCATACTCCAAACATCACATGTGAATCACAAAATAAGATTATCATTATCTACGCGTTCACGTTTTTAACTTTATCTAAATAAAAGTAGACAAATGTCGATATATTTGCATCCAAGAAAGGGATCCACACACCCACATGCTTTTCACATCCAACACAGATTTAAAATAGAAGCAAAACAACTAAAATAATTAAAGGGAAGAAGGTCATCATGTTCATGACCTCATGGGAGGGCACCAGTTCCTTCCTCAACAGAGACCAAGAAAGGGGCACTTATTTTTTTCTTTGAGAAACTTGTAGAATTTACTTCTTAATTGCAAAGAAGGATGCTCTTCAATATCATACAAAGGGACTTTCTGGAGGCCAAAAAAAGGGTATTTTGTGATTCAGAATATGATGAAATTATAAGCGTGTTTAGCCAATTTTCAAACAGGAAAGATCCAAGTATCCTTTCTGCAAAACAAAAAAAATAAAAAGGTTATTGTTTAATTTGTTTTCAAGAAAGTGGAATCGCCCTCTCTTAACAAGACATAAACCTAGCTGATAATTTATTTCTTCATTGTAATATGCACAAAAAAGTATGGAAGACAATATTGCATATCATCTCTCTAAATGCTTCTACAGGTCCTTGTTGGGAAATATCCCAATCCAAATTCTACACGTGGAAATATTTTATTGTATGGTTGAGTTATGAGTTGGCTTTGTCCTACTTTAATGGCACCAGAAGAAATGAGGATAGGACAAGTAAATGGGACAATTTAGTCGTTTGAGGCCCCAATCTTATAGGGGCCCCGGTCCCCCAACATTACAGCTTCTTTTGTAATTGTTTCTAAAAGTTGAGTTATCGCACCAAATTTAACCCAAAGTCACCCTAATCATCATGCTGCATTATTGCATGGTCCATCCATGTAATTTGGTTTTCTAAACTAACACCTTTTTGGTCTTCAAGATAAGGGGAATGGGGTCTACCATTTTTGCAATGCCAGGAAACAAAACCTAAAAAAAAAAAATAATAAAAAAAAGCAAAGAAAAATGGATATGAGTTTTGACCCCACATCGGTCTTGAAATTAAAGAAAACAAAATTATTCCCCCGAATTGATTCTTTAAATTTAAATTTTTTTTAAAAAACTTATTCCCACTTTGTCAACAAATTTTTTTATTTTTTATTTTATTTTATTTTATCGTATCCTTTTTTGCATTTTCAATGAGTAGCTAACTTGCTCTTACAAAAATATATTAGTTAACTTTCAAATTATAATTTTTGTAAAATGGATCCCTAAAAAAATTGTAAAATGGAGAAAATGAGAGTATTTTTATTTATTTCTCCACCAATGCCTGAATATTTTTTTTTGGGTACTGATCAAACAATATCTGGTTATATAGTTAGAAGAAGTAAAAGTAACCAGTTCGTTGAGCTTTTTGAGTATAGAACACTGCTATTGTTGATTACTTGTGAATTTGTTGCAGGGCACCCAAGTTCACGTTGACACCATAGATGAGAAGCCCCCCAAAGCCAGCTTCAGCTCCCCATTGTGCACTCTTAAGTCCATTGGCTGCGAGGTCATTAAATATTACATTGCATAGTAATTAATTCTTAATTCGCATTTTTTTAACTCTTCCACATAATTCCTAGAACTAATCTGCTATATTTGTTAATTCAGATGTCATGCAAGCCTCCAGGTGAAGAGATTTCCCACAAATCAACACTAGCAATACTTAACAAGGTTTCAAACTATTCATGGGAATCCAAGGCTGTGCTGGCCCTTGCAGCCTTTGCTTTGGAATATGGAGAGTTCTGGCTGCTTGCCAACATTCATCAATCTGACCTCCTTGCCAAGTCTGTGGCAATCCTTAAGCGAGTGCCGGTGCTTCTGAAGCCTGCCAATCTCCAGAAGCGCCGGCAAGCGGTTGTTGAGCTCAACGTTCTGATCAAGACCACATTGCAAGTGATTGAGTGTATCTTTGAGCTGGAGAAGCTTTCTACTTATGATCCAAAGGATGTGCCAGCACTGGCAATTGCAATGGATCATATCCCTGTGGATGTCTATTGGTCTATCATAACTATTGTAGCTTGTGCCACGAAGATCACCCTTCTCACTAGTGACGAGTAAGTTCATGTCTATACAAGTTATAGTCTTTGTTTAAGGAATTCGTATCAGTACTCCAAAAAGAACATCCAGCACTCCGCCATTTTTAAAACACAAGAAAGAAATTGCCCTTGGAGAAGTGCAAGATGAGTTCTTTGAACAATATGCAAGAGATTTTATTGGCACTAGTTTATGTACATGACTTTGGTTTACTTTGGTGCAGGGAGAAACCCTATGACCTATCCCAGTTTGCTCAAAAAATCCACTACATCCTTAACAAGCTTAAGATACAATTGTTGATCTGCAAAAAACAAATTGGTGGGTACTAGTTTATTCATATCACTCACTACTTGTATATGTTGCACTATAAATGCGTTGTTGTTGAAGACTAAAGTCTGTTCTCTGTTTTCTATTTGAAACAGAGGAGGCAGAGACCTATCGAAAGTTGAGGAAACTTTTTCAGACCCCTGCCGAAGTTATGGAGGTTTTCAAGGCCCTGATTTTCACCAAGGATACTGTGCAGCCAATCATTGATGGTTCTACTAACAAAACGGTTTGCTCTCATAGCACATTTCTTATAAATTAATTTAACCACTGCTCTTTGTAGTTTGGCACTTAATTTTGCCATTGTGCCTAATTGTTCAAACAGGTTAACATTGATGTGCTGAGGAGGAAGTATGTGCTGTTGTTCATCTCCACCCTGGATATTTCTGATGATGACATTGCGATACTCAAACCGGTTTATGAGGGAACAAAGAAAGAGGATAAGTATAAGATTGTGTGGATCCCCATTGTGGAGCAATGGACTGATGAGCTACGAAAGAAGTTCGAGCTCTTGCGGGCCAAGATGCCGTGGTACACGGTGCAGTATTTTGCACCTGTAGCCGGCATCAGGTTCATCAAGGAGGAGTGGCACTTCAAGGGTAAGCCTGCAGTGGTGGTGATGAACCCACAGGGCAAGGTGGAAAACACCAATGCCCTCCACTTGATTCGGGTTCATGGAATGAAGGCCTTTCCTTTCTACAAAGGGATAGAAGATAAAATCACAAATGACAGAGAATGGATCACCCCCATTGTGAATGATATTCACCCAAGCATACAGACCTGGGTAATTAAATTAATTTTCACAACTGCATGCATTTTAACTCAAGTTTTACAATGTGCACAAATAAATTCATGGTTCGATTTAACTTGTAACATATTTGATTTGATCCATTGACAGATCAAAGAGGAGAAGTACATTTTCTTCTATGGAGGCAAAGACAATGACTGGATCCAGCAGTTCACAAAGAAAGCAACCATCATTGCAAATGATCCCTTCATAAAGGACCAAAAGATCAACATTGAGCTGTTCTGTGTTGGGAAGAGCCCCAAAGGAGGGGAAGACCTTGGCATTCTTGGGCGCTTTTGGAATGGCATAGAGAGCTTGTTCTTCACCAATGTCAACAAGCAAACTGACACTGTGACCAAAGAAGTCCAAAAGCTGCTTTCCTACAAAAACGAGAGTGGATGGGCCGTGCTTAGCAAAGGGTCTACCGTGGTGGTGAGCGGTCATGGCTTCACAATCTTGAAGGTCCTCGACGACTTCGACACATGGAAGAACTTCATAAAGGAAAAGGGATTCGAACTTGCATTCAAAGCACACCATGAGAAGGTGATTCAGACTGTGAAGCACTGCAGCCGCCTGGATATCCCAACTGTTGCTGGGAAGGTGCCTGAGACCATGAAATGCCCCGAGTGTCCTCGCACCATGGAGACATATGTGAGCTACAAGTGTTGCCACACTGATGGTCCCATTAACGCACATCACTAAAGCTCTTGTTATTGTTGAGTTTATGAGGGCATCAGATGAGAATAAGTATTATGCTTTCTGTTTTTCTTCTTGTTTTGGCTTCTACAATAATCATGGGCATTTCATTACTTTGGTAATGTGATGTCCACCAATGTGAGTATGAGTCTGAGTCTGAGTCTGAGTGTTGTGTGTGTGTCCAGTATTGCGAATGTAATGTTCATCTTTGTTGTTGGATGTTGTCATGTTATGTGATCGGCCACAACTTTTTCATCATCGCTATAATATGTATTTTCCTCGAATTAGTAGCCACTTCAAGATTTGTTGTTGCTTCTTATATGTGCTCTAGGCATGGAGAAATGAATATTTTAGCATCAGAAGCCATTCGAAATGGTTGTTTCTCTTGAGACTATGATTTATGTGATGCCAATAGGGAAAAAATTGGTAGTAGGTGACAAGACCATTAAGACTAAAACCAAATGACTCTGTTACAACAATTGTTCTAAAAAGACCACTAGGTGAGTAGCTGCTACGACTAGACAACTACCTAGAAAAACTGTAAACACGGTAAATCACAGAAACAGATTAGGATGGATCAAATAAAAAACACAGAGTAATCATGTCACATCCTATGCACTCAGAAGAACCTGTCAAGTTATGCTTTCATACTCCACAAAATATTAACAAAGTTTACGTCATCCAACAACCAATTCAGTACATCATGGCTAGCATTAATAGGAGTTTCATGACATCAATATCACAAGCAAGTCTGGCCCAAAGCCTGTGCGGTTTGCATGGATGCTAGAATGATGGGTTATTGTGAGGGGTTATAATGAGGGGGTCCTTAATAACCGTTCGATTCAGTGCAGAGTTATTATTGGACTGTTGAATTGAACCCCTCATTGTAACCCCTCATTATTAGAGCTATTGTGCAGTCTGTGAACTCACACAGGGCCTAAACATAAAAGGCCTCTTAGAGATGAGTAAGCCTAGTAAATAAGAGAGCAAAAAAGGCCTTTTTGCAAGTATTTGGTTGATAGTTTTGGGCTTTCTACCTCTTTTCCATTAAAAGGGACTCCTTAAATTTTGTGAAAAGATTGGGTCTATTTTGTTGAGTTATGTGAACCAAATATTTGATAAAATAAGTACATATAATGAATGATATAACGATTAATAACATCAAGACTTTTTGTATAAAACTACACAATGTCCAATTGTGCAGACGATTAAGTTTGAGACATTATTGATGTTGGCAGTAGTTTTATTGGTTTTAGTTCAACTTTTTATTAGTACATAAAGGGGGCCTCAACCTTTTATTCTACATGGGAACTAATTCCTACGGCCTTGATCACAAGGTAGCCAACCTATGCAGGTGAAACTGTGGCAACAATTTTCTCGACACTTCTCATCTAAACTGAGGGAGGTACATGCTGTGTAGTGTTTCTCAAATTGACTGTTTTACGAGGAATAGGGAAACTTGATTGGGTCTATTTTGTTGAGTTATGTGAACCAAATATTTGATAAAATAAGTACATATAATGAATGATATCACGATTAATAACATCAAGACTTTTTGTATAAAACTACACAAATATCCAATTGTGCGGACGATTAAGTTTGGGACATTATTGATGTTGGCAGTAGTTTTATTGGTTTTAGTTCAACTTTTTACTAGTACATAAAGGGGGCCTCAACCTTTTATTCTACACGGAACTAATTCCTACGGCCTTGATCACAAGGTAGCCAGCCTATGCAGGTGAAACTGTGGCAACAATTTTCTCGACACTTCTCATCTAAACTGAGGGAGGTACATGCGGTGTAGTGTTTCTCAAATTGACTGTTTTACAAGGAATAAGGAAACTTGAACCGAACTTCAACGAGTTCTAGCTCAGTGGAAAAAGGCATTGATTTGCAGACTAGTGATCTCAGGTTTGAAACTCTATGACACCTTGATATTGTATGTGTGAGATACCCCTTTTCCATTGTATATAATATAATTATAAGAATAAAAAGGGATATTTAGTTATATACCTATTTTTAGCACTAGTGATATAGATAAACCCTACACCATTTAATTTCTATAAACAAACCCAAAAAAACCCAAAAAATGACAATTGGACCTATTTAATTTAATTTTGATTATTAAATTACTTTGATGCCATATTAAGTGTTTTTGGTTTTTTTTTTTTATATGAGGTTTTGGGGTTGCGCTTGTTTTAAGAAATCGATGGCAATTTTGTAATTTATAAGAAGTTCGAAGCTTTTTTGTTATGTTGTAAATGGGCTTTGGATGTGTTTCTAAAGTCCATTTCATATGAGGTATTTTTGTTTTAATAATTAATTTGGACCCATATATTGGGTATAATAGTGAATCTCCCTTAAAAAAAACTTGAATTGAACTTCTGGTCCAACAAATTTGGTTCAAATCCCAAAAGGGTGCAAACCCCAAAACTTTTGGTTCAATAAATTTGGTTTGATATCTCAAATTTATATGTTTAGCCATGTTGTGGTTTGCTATTCACCGAGAAATCAAACTCTATCTCTTTTTAGAGCCATATGTCTTGTTCCAATAAGATTTTTAACAAGTTTAAACATTTTGCTTTCCCGTAATACCCACTGCAGCATTAACACTTATTTATTTATTTATGGGGAGCACTAGATTAGATTGGAAAATGCCTATATTTTATGCACATTTATAGCATAATATGGACATTATTGTCTAACTTAGTGGATAAATGGGACTATGAGAGGTTGATGGCTAAAACTTATCCCATCTAATCCCCTTGAAAATAGAGGGATTATGAGGGATAAGTTTCAGTTATCAACCTCTTATGAATAGTCATCCTTCATCCTCCAAGTTAAACAGTGTAAGGATGGTTTCGGCAAATATTTGGGCCTTGAAGCAGATTTTGGTGCATCTAAAAAACAGATTTTTGAATTTGTGCATCAGAAAATTGGTGGTCGGCTACACGGATGGGCTGAGCAATTTTTATCTGCTGTTGGGAAGGAGATTTTGATCAAAGCTGTGGCCATGGCAATGCCAAATCATGCCATGTCTTGTTTCAAGTTACCGGTGAGCTTATCCAATCTTCCATGAGAGAACACGACATATTGAGATGAATTGTCATTTTATTCGTGACAAAATACTTGAAGGTACTGTTTCTACATGGCATGTGAATTCTTCACAACAACTAGCTGATACATTTACGAAACCTTTGGGCAAAAAGAAGTTTTCAGCTATGCTACGCAAATTGGGCGTTCTTGATGACATTTACTCTTCAACTTGAGGGGTAGTGTTAGAAAGTAAATATATTTTAGATAGGAAAAAAATTTGTAATTGATTCATATCCAATCCTTCCCTTAGATGGAATTCTTGTAGAATTCCTTATTGTACTAGGAAAACTCATGCATATATTTTATATTAATTAATGAAATATTCATTCAAGCCAAATATCTTTTTCTACAAAACTTGCACAAAAGTAACATAGTTGTGACCTCTAACCTGTCCAACACGCCTGTAACCCCACTTAAAATTTGTTTAGTAAACAATTGTAATACTGAGGTGGATACTTCTCTGAAACAGGAAGAAAATAAATAAATAAAGTGACGTAGACACTGACCCAAAATAATGACGTAGACTACTATGAGGTCGGCAATTAACGGTGGATGACTTTGTCACTTGTGAAGAGTCGTGGACTTGTGCGCATACAAAGTATATTTTGTGATTTCGGATCCGATCAGCACGGCAGAAAAGATTAACTTGTTGGGATTGAAGCCGGCAAATTGGGTTTCAATCTTTTCGATAGGCATATAGAAAGCATATTTCATGATATCTTATTAAAACTCAAAAACTCACATGCATGTGGCTTTCCATGGCGGGTGGCAATCCTCAACTTAATGAAATATATAATATTATTAGTGCCTAACTGGGGGGGTTCTGGAATGTGATTATTATGTACATAGGTGCACAGATGTGAAGAGTAGTTGAATGTTAAGAAACTTTACACAGCCGGATTTATAAGATGTTGAGCTACTTTTTTCATTATAAATTGTATTGAGATCGAAACCTCAACTTCTTTCAATTGCAATCTTGAGCCACCTCAGATCCTCAATTGCAAAGAGGAATTAATTGCTCCTATTTCATAAGCAATTGCTATTTAAGAATATGATCGAGTGACTCAAAATAATATTGGAGAATCAAATCGATAAACTGAAGACAGTTGAGGCTGAGGGAGAGAGCACTGACTTTCCATTCATGAGCTGCATATATAAATCAAGTCGCGATCCATGTGTGAAACCGTAGACTGGTCATTTCAAAATACTGTGCTACATGGCAAATTGGGTATTTTATATATAGTAAATTTGAGGGCGATCCGCTTTTTGCGTAGTTTACATGTTACCGTCCATCCGTCAGATGAAGAAGCAAAGGCTATAAAAAGGTATAGTTTCATAGTGGACAAGGCACATTGAGCTCACTTGCAACACTTGCAACACTTAGAAGCCATCCCTAGTTGTTAATCATGAACAGCATCCGGCTAAATGAGTTCAGCCATAACGGGTTTACCTTAACCGAGACAGAAATCTTGGAGATCATTTGTGAAAACCATGCTCCTGAAAACCTGTTAATGATGTAGTCAATTAATGTGTTAATTATGTAGTCAATTAATGTTTGGCACCTACTATGTTTGGCACCTACAATATTTGGGGGGCTTGACTAGGTTGGTTGCCTAACTAGGTTGGTTGCCTAACTTGGTGGGCTTAGGAACTTGTATATATATGTGTTGATTGTAAGTAATGAGAGATATAAGAAAGAATTCTAAACCAGAAAATCTTTACACAAATCTCTACACTTTGTTTGGCATGGTATCAGAGCAATCGATTTTGGTTGCCTCTGCATAACATTGTTCTACCTTGTTCTACCTTGTTCTTACCTTATTCTTGCCTTACCTTGCCTCTACTTAATCTTGCCTTTACTTCTTTGCTCCTATATTGTTCCAACACAAAACTTGTGTTGAGTTCCCTTGGTTGTTTTATCCTTCCGCTGCATATACTTATCCCGACTTATCTCATGGGTGACGCCTCCGACTCCTCCAAGGCTAACTCCTCTACTCCACCAGTCCGCTCCTCTCACGACTACCCTTCTCAAATCACTCCAGATAAGTTGGATGGGTCCAACTACTCTGCATGGTCTCGTAGTGTTCGTTTGGCCATAACAAGTCGGCGTATGGCTGGTTTCATTAATGGTAAAAAATCTGCCCCTGCCATTGATGACCCCAGCTATGACACTTGGGATGAAGACAATTGT